TTAAACACATTAGGTAGTCAAAACAGTAATCTATACCATATCTGCTGTACTAATCCCTATGAGCATAATGACCAGGCAGTGTTAAAATGAGTTTTTAATCTAGCTCTCCTTTCAGCTGTTCACATACAGCACCTGACAAAGCATTTTACCTATTAGGGGGGAAAAAAGAAATGCAATAATATGTCAAATATATTATTATTCAGAAATGCTAAACAGATATTCAGTTTGTAAGCACATTTCTGTATTGTATTACATTTTTGAAAGTGGATTTGGTATCATTCTAAAATTTAGTTGTCAAAAATACTTACCATTGTGAAGAGTAGTTGATAGAGTCTGCTTTTACTAAAGGATTTAACTTAATTCTGTTTATTTTTAAGGGCAAGCAGGGCATATAATAATTTCTATTAATTTTAAAACTCACTTTATTCACATGGTATTTATAGTATCAGAGTGATTATTTCATATAGATAAAATCTTAACTTTTCAGTGGTTGAAAAGATGGTAGTTATTTGCAAGTACTCATTTATCAAAACCCACATAACCACACTTCAGATGATCTCTGCTCTTTCTTCTTTGTCTCTCATATTCAAATTATCTGACACTTACTGAAAAAATACTTCATAATTATGTTTTAACAGTCCAAAGGGTATGGTTAATCTCAGCTGCTTTTGCAGACATACTAAATAAAGCAAATGTTTTTTACCTCAGAAGTCCTCCATTAGCATCTCCAATAAGAACCTCTTGAAAATCTGGATGGAAGGGTTCAGTGTATAATGTTGGGTAAATAGTTCTCTCTCTCTTTTCCTCTCCCTACCCTTCCTCCATTGTTTAAAACACATGTTTAATGGCCAGTAAATCAATATTGTTTCTGGGGGAAACCATATATTAAAGGACCAGGGGTCCCTGAGCTCCTTGCCTTTGACCCACATGTGGTCAGCTCTTGGGAGTCCCATGACCCACTCTCTGAACCTGGTATTCAGACCTCATCCCTGCAACTCTTGCCTCTCCTCACACACTCTTGTTCATTCAGAATGTCAGAGACCAAGCTAGAAATTAGAAATAAATTACTAATGTCCACCTTTTCAGTAAAATGTATATGTCGTACGCTCTCAGACTTTACAAAATCCATATCCATAAATATCTTAACCTTTTATACAATTCCTACATTCCTGTCCCCACATATTCCATTGTCATAACATTTGCACTTCTAATGATATTTCTCCTTGAAGAAGTATCATGGTGTTAATGTGGATAACTAACTATTTTTTCTTTAAAATTACTGCTTGTCTGCTTCTAGAAATCTGCAATATACAGGCAAATTTTCTTTAAAGTTAAGGGCCTGTGCTAAATGCTTGGTTGATATACAGTATGCTTTAATATTTTGACACAGCTACCTTGTCATTTCATCTGAGCTTTGGTTAACAGTGGGCTCAAGGAACTCTTGTATAATCAAATGAATTGACCTGGACATGAGCTACCACATCATAGCTGAGCTATATACCAGGTGAATGTTTATATTCCCATGCAGATATGGAATTTCACATTGTGTTTATGGAATTCCTCTTTTGGTTCTTCACAAAGTAAAGTAATGCTGTGGCTAGCCTGACATTTGTAGAAAGATACTGGAAAATTCTAGCCAGATGCCCAACCTTCTTGTATTTATGATGGACAACTACAAAGCTATTGTTCTGCCAGTTATTGCTTTAATTACCTTCCATGGTCTTCAGTACCTTCTTTACTTATGCCACTGAAATTCTCAAAACCAAGACTTTTCTCTTTACCTGCATTTTATAACTCACAGCTGAATTTTTTCTGATAGTGAGTAGAAAATAACCACGAGATAATGTAAACAGTAGTGTCAGTGATGGAACTGTTGAAAGTTCCTTAGGAAGCCAGTGCTGTGCCACTGGAGAGTGTACACAGAAACAGATTCCTCTGTACTAGCGCTGTGTGATGTCAGCCTAGAATTGAGTCAAAGTGTCTTCCAGCCAGATAGAAACATATTCATGTGTCTGATTTCCCCCTCAGCCCATCAGAAAGGTGAACAAAATGAAAAAAATCAAATTCAAACAGTCATTGACATGCTTTCATAGGGCTTAGTTTGTAAATATTTTGGATGAAATGTATTGGAATAGTATGAAAATCATCAGAAGATGTGGGTTCCTGCCTTATTTTCCTATGCTGTGGGTACATCTGTGGGAGCTTGCAGCACCCTTCTCTAAACTCAGCTGTCATTTGGAGCTCATTTGCTACTCAAACCATAGATAGATATTTAACATGAGTGATATAATGACCTTCAGTATTTTTCTATTGAACAAGTTTATCAATTTTTGCCATTAAACAGATAATTAGTTATGCAAAATATTTAGCTTTTATAATCATTTTAGTTATGACTAACGGGGGAGAAATTGAGCTGCATCATTGATAATGAACTTTGTGAGAAATTTTTTGTTTATTTGACTTTCATTCCTTCAGTATTCTTGCTACACATTTTTTGGAGATGATTTATTTGAAAATGTCTAAAATGTATGTATATTTTATAAATATATATTATATATATTGTGGGAATATATATAATATATATATAGACTATATATATACATATATATATATATATATAAAACCATAGGTGCATTTTACTGTTTTGTATTTTCATTTTTGGAGGTGGTGTACACAGCAGGTAATGATGAGTATGATGAGTGTTGTGCTGTTTGCTTTTGCGGTATAATATATAGTTCTAAATGTTTAAATTACTGTAAATACTATATTCATTATAGGCTAGCATGCTTGTTTTAAAGATTGTTGTTCTAGTTTATTAAAATCTGAATGTAAGAAAACTTGGCTATTTAAATGTGAATTGAAAAATTTTCCATTCTCAGTACTGAACTATTTCCATTGAACATTCAGGATTTTTAACAAAACAGATATCATCAAGAAGGCAATAGCTAGAGAATGAGAGGTGCCTTTAAAAAAAAAATTCAAATGCAGCCTTACAGTGAGGATGAGGATTGAGTTTTGGGAGGAAAGGGGAAGAGTGAGAGAGAAAGTGTGTGTGTGTGTGTGTGTGTGTGTGTGTGTGTGTGTGTGTGAGCGCCAATCTGTGAAGGTCCTGATTTGTGACCATCACTGTCTTTTTAATGTATCTGCTCAACTTCTAGGACTTCAGGGGACATTTCATGCGCTGTCTTTGTGCTCTTCTGAGTGCCATTTATTCTTCCAAGAATTTGGAATGTGAATTCCTAAAAATTTCAGAAGAGAAGAAAATAACTCTTATTTAATTATAGTCAAGTTCAGGTAAAAGGAGAAGTTACTGGTTCACCAAAATTACGGGATCTCATTAATGTTGGCTAAGTAAATGTAATTTTTGAAGGCCACCTTTTTTAGTACTTCATGTATTTCCCCTTACACAAGAGCATGTCATGAAATTCTTATGTAATGAAGAGATTCAAATAGTAAAAATTATTTTTAGATTAAACACTTTGAACTAGTTAAAATTCCACCTAAGAATAGTATTTAAGTGGCATCTGTCATATCTACCTCTGTCATTGCTGCCATTTTAACTAAAGCAAATCTTTATGACATGAAATGATGGCTGGGTACAACTGAAAAAGCTGTGTTGGTGCTTTTCTCAGGCTTTGTCATTTAAGTTATATTGAACTAAGATGTCACAAATCAGATTGAAAGACTTAGTTTTAATTTTGGTTTTCTTTTGAAAGAACTGCTTAAATTTTATCATCAATGTTGATAGTGAGTCTAGATAGCTAATCTCTGGTTAGTGTGTATGTCTGTGTGATGTTTTCAACCAAGAGCCAAACTGTTATTAGAGAGAGAGAAAGAGAGAGAGAGAGAGATCTAAGTATAATTTTCTTCAGCTTTCTTTGTTCTTTGAAAGTTATTTCAAAGCTATTAAGTACATGATCATTAATTTTATTTACTTAGCATTGCCTCCATTACTGTGTTACTCATTTAATTATTTATATCATCGCAGATCTTTAGTGTTTGACACTGGGATTCAGGTTGTACAAAAGTAGTTGCTGACAGAAATTATATGTATATTTTGTGAAATAAATCAATTCCCAAAGTTGGTTTTAGGGGAAGGTCCCAAAGAGTTAACAGCTGTGTTTAAAACCAGAAGACAGGTCATTGGTAAATGACTTTAGTAATTTTCACTTCTGTCACAGAAGGCTTTTTAATTGGCCATATTCATTATCCAACTGGGTCTCCATGTCAGTGTAAGGGACAGAAGGTTGACAAAGTATTTACAAATTACATCACTTTTTTTAATGCTTGAAAATGCAAATATTAGGCCAAACATAGCTCCCTAGTCCCCATTTACTTATCCTAGCAGTATTACCGAAGGTAGTGCTTAGGGGCCAGCATTTTCTGGATCTTTGCTAATCAAACTTTGACTTGATTTAATTTGACCACATGCTTGTCATCCCTCTGATGCAAATTAGAAAGTTGACTTTATTAACTGTAATGTCTGCCTGGGTTTTTAACAGGCTGTGAACCAGTGAGTGCCTTGTTTATGTAGAATGATTTTTTCCCCCCTGGTTGTTCGTTAGCTCCTCTCTGAAAATGTCTCAGAGAATGGTATTTTAGTTGACTTGTAGAGAGCTGCTAAATTTGGTGTTATCAGCGATCAGAAAGTCTTCAGTGTATCATATACCTCCCTCCCGACTTTCTTCTCATTGTTTGGCGAAGTTTGCCTCTTGTGAAAAACTAATACCACCACCACCCCTCCCCCCAACACACACACACACCTTCTCCACACACTTTTTTCCAATCAGATTAAGAGTTATCCCCTACATCCATCCCAACTATATGATCTAATATCTGTTTTTAGGAGGAACCACTTCTTTGTAATCTTGAAGTTTATTGGTTATTTTATGTTTCCTTAACTACAGTTTACTAGAGCTGACCTCTCGGGGCATCATCAGTTCAGATTCCTAAGTCAGTCCTTTTCTCCACACCCCACGCCCCTCAACTGGTGAGCCCTGGGACAAATTGTTTGATCTTCAGGTATTTTAAAAATTAGTTATAATATCAATTAATGTAAATTAATCCAAATGCTAATTTTTGTGGTGCAAGAAGTTTCTTTTGTAAATTCAGGGTATAGATAAGCTAATTGAGATATCCTTTTCTGGTGGCTCTAAGTGTATTATTGTTTTTAAATAAAGTGTACAAATATAGATAATGTGCTATAGGTGTCATGAATTGGAATAATTGTCAGATTTGAAATATAATGGATTTGCAGTTAAAATACTTTAATACAACCTGATTTTGTTATTTTGGGGTGGTAGATGAGGGGTACAGAGAAATAAAAGGTTATTAGACAAAGTAGACGTGAATCCAAAACAATGAACCAACCTTAATTATTAATTGTGAGTACGGTGAAGAAGTTTATTATTATAGAGAGTTTGGACCTTAGGAAAACCAATAAAATTAAAATACCCCATAAGATTGGATCATTGGTACTTTTCAGGGCCACAGGCTTATTTTTTTCAAGTGTTTAGTTACATAATTTTTAAAAATTATACGTGTAAATATATATAAATTTCATGTGTTTTTATTTTTTCCTTGTTTGGCTACTTATCACACAAGCATTAGCCTTGTCCTTTCTCTTGTGCCTTCACATCAACATTATTTTTCAAGGGCTTTGCCTGCCCAGAACTCACAATCTCTTTGTTCCAATCTGGAGTCGTAATACTATATGGAAGAGATACTGATGTCCTTGAAACTATCCACTGTTCTTTGATGTTTTTTATGCAGCTGTAGTAATGAGTATTGAATCCTTTTGTATGTACACATTTTTCAGTAGTGTCAGAAATGTCCCCCCCGCCCCGCTTTTTTTCCTTTTGTTCCTTTTTTTAAAATATATTTTATTGATTTTTTACAGAGAGGAAGGGAGAGGGATAGAGAGTTAGAAACATTGATGAGAGAGAAACATCGATCAGCTGCCTCCTGCACAACCCCTACTGGGGATGTGCCTGCAACCAAGGTACATGCCCTTGACCGGAATCGAACCTGGGACCTTTCAGTCCGCAGGCCGATGCTCTATCTACGGAGCCAAACTGGTTAGGGCCTTTCGTTCCTTTTAATGAACATGATTTGCTTGGAGTTATTTTCGAGTGATCTAGTTCAGAAGGTCGTTTTTCACTGACTGATGGACCCTTGGGATCAGCCCAGGTTCAGAGTAATATTCTGACTTGCATTGGGTTTCCCAAGACCAGCACTGAGGTTTTGCAGGATCCCAGAGTTGTCATGGCACTTGGGGTATTCCCTAGTAATACCTGGAAGCCTGGCGGCAGGCTTCCCACCATCACTATAACCATGAAGCATCCCTCCACTTGTTACTCCTCAGTTACACTTTGTTTACATCGATTGGGACACTCCAATTCTATGGAGGAGCACTCACATACAACTCTGAAAATTTGAATCAGTATTTTCTGGAATGCAAAATACTTAGTAATATTTTGTATACTTTCAAAATCAAACAGAATCCAAAATCTATCAAATGAAAAAATGACTCACTTTGAATTTCACTTAGATCCTGCAAAATCCTAACCCCTATCTTATTCCTAGTTGTTATTAGTCTTAAGGTAATGGTCAGACTTGAAGATGGATCTGACTATTTGGGTGAACAAAATCTGCCATATTCTTCCTAATAAGAAGGGGCTGTTTCATAGAAAATTCTCTTGTCCTTGGTAATTTAGTACCTCACCTTACATGAAGACTGTCCAGATGCTAGCACCACATTTACTTTTCCTGTGTGCCTCTTTAAAGAGACAATTAATCCAGTGATGTGAAGGGGAGCCCACAGTAAAACATCTGTTAAGTAGCGCTTGTAGTACTAGAGTTAGTATTTATTAATTCATGTGCCTAAGTTCTTCATGTCCTCGTAAGATCCAATGCATGTACCAGGTTTCCAATCTATGACCTCAAACCAAAGAATTTTAATTACCTCATATAATAGCAACATCATATTAAGGGTAATGGTAAGGAAACCCATCACCCATAAATGAGAATTCCCAAACTGAAAAACTTCCTTTAATTAAGAACTGCACGGAAAGCAAAATGTAATGCTAAGCATGAGCTGTAAAAATACTTGTGGTTTATATAGGACTAGATGACTGGTGCACAAATTCGTGCACAGGTGGGGTCCCTCAGCCTGGCCAGCTATCAGGGCTCATCTCGCACAGTCCTGATTGGGCTGATTGGGCCGGGGGCGTTGGCCGGCCCCGAGCATGGCCGATCGGGCCTCTGACCGTGGGAGGTTGGATGTGGGAGTACAGTGACCACGAGGGGACAGTTCCTGCATTAAGCATCGCCCCATGGTGGTCAGCGTATCATCCTAGCGACCTGTTGTTCGGTCGACCAGTCCTGATGGTCACTTAGGCTTTTATCTATATAGATGTACTGCAATGTTGAAGTATGCTAACGTTCAATTCTTTATGGGAGGGGCACCAAGGCAGAAATATTTCATTAAAAAGATGAGTTTACCATAGAGCAAAAGAAATATCATAGAAACAGTTTACTTGGGCGCTGGATAAGTTGGGTGAGGGTGTGGGGAAAGAAGTACCACACCAAGAAGGAAGAGTCCATCCCTCACTGTCTCCCTTTCTCTTTACATGGCCTGGAAAGCTGACCTCTGAGGTCCTTTGACCTCTAAAAGTGAATGGATCCAATTCTGACTTGTCATTGGTCCTTGTAATCTAAAGGTTTTTAGGAAATGCCTCGGAGCCC